CCAGGATTCTGTGTGAGGGAGAAAGGGTGGGAGAGGGAGAGAGAGGCGAATAGACGAACGGGTTAAAGGCAGAGGCGGGGACAGACTGAGCCTGAGCAAGACAGACAGACAGACAGACAGAGACAAAGATGCCCCCAGAAGAATAATCCGCGGGGGCGAGGAAGGCGGAAGAGGAGGCGCCTGGGGGGGGGGGGGGAATCCATAAGGATTATAAAGCAAGCATTCTTCTCAGTCTCAGCGCCTGTCACACCTGTCAGGTCTTGACGGCTCACCTGTCAAGTTCAAGTGACACTCAGCGGGCGTCGCCAAGTTGCTCTAGGCAGGTCCCTCGCGAGCCTGTGCTGAGCCTTGAATCCCTAAAGGCGTCCTGGGGAGCCTACGTGGGGGTCAGGATGACTTGGGGGGGGGGGGGTATGATGGGGGTCGCGATGGAATGTCTGTGTTGGGATGATTTTTTTTTTATTCTGCTACAGCCTTTGCGATATAGTTTTTAACTTTTTTTTATCATTTTCCTTTTAATCTGTTTATTTTTTGTGTTCATTTGGCTGATTTGTTTATTTAATTTGTTTATTTCATTGTCTATTCGTACGGAGATGGAACTTATTGTTTCGTATCTTAAACTTAAGGTATCGATAGAAGAATTTCATATATATATATATATATATATATATATATATATATATATATATATATATATATATATATATATATATATATATATATGTATATATATATATATATATATATATATATATATATATATATATATATATATATATATATATATATATATATATATATATGTATATATATATATATATATATATATATATATATATATATATATATATATATATATATATATATATATATATATATATATATATATAATGGATTAAAGAGGAGGCTGAAGAACAAGAACATGCGACTGGATAAAAGTGGGACATAAAATAAAACAAGAACAGAGTGAGATGAAAAAAGAAGAAAGCAAATTCAAACAAGAAAAGGAAAAAAAGTGACGAAACGAACGGATGGCAAAGTAGAAAAAAAAAACGGGTTAAAGCAAGGAGACAAAAAATCGGATGCAGAAAGTGAATACGATAAGATTAGAAAATAAATAGACCGAAAAAAAGATATATAATAAAAAAAAAATAAAGAAAACACAAGATGAAAGGAAGACATGCAAGGCAATCTCAAGACCCTCGCGAGATCTCTTCGTACGACCTTCTTTTGTTTTTGTTTTTGTTTTTTGTTTTTGTTTTTTTGTTTTCCGCCATTGGTTGCCGATAGTCGCGAGGGAGCGTAACGGGAGAAGGGGGGTGGAGGGGGAGGGAGAGAGGAAAAAAAAGAGGAGAGAAAGGGTGATATATCGGTGTGTATGTTTGTTTGTTTGTTTTCGACTTTTTTTTCTGTTTTTTTTCTTCTTCTTGTTATTATTCATTATCATTATTATTCATTATCATTATTATTCTCATTCTTAAAATAGGGAATGAAAAACTGAAAAAAGAAGGGAAGACAAGAGGAAAACAAATATAAAGAAGAAAAAAATGAATGTTTTTTTTAAATGTAAATTGTATATATATATTAGGAAGGGCGTGAATGAAGGGAAGAAAGAGGAAAGGGGGAAGAGGAGGGGAGGGAGAGGAGGGAGGAGGGGGAGAGGGAGAGGAGGGGAGGGGGGGAGAGGGAGAGGAGTTGGGGGTTGAGAGGGAGAGGAGGAGAGGGAGAGGAGGGGGGGGGAGAGAGATGAAGAGGGGTCGTGGAAAATTGATTATCACGGCGTTGCCATCTGTGGCCTCACGCTTACTCCCTTAACTCCCTTTGGCCCCGCCCTCTCTTTAGCCCTCCTTAGCTCTCCTCCCTTCCTCCCCTTCCTCTTTTTCCTCCCTGCCTCCGTTTCATCCCTTTCCTCCCTTCCTTCTTTGCCCTCCATTTCCTTTCTTCCTCCTTTTCCTCTGTTTCATCGCCTTCTCCCTCCTTCCGCTTTCTCCCTTCCTCCCTCCCTTCTTTCTCTTTCGCTTTCCTTCCTTTATCCCTTCCTCGCTTTCCACCCTGTCTCTCTTCTTCCTCTTCCTCCTTCCTCCCTCTCCTCCGTCCCTTCCTTCCTCCTTTTCCTTCCTTTCCTCCCTCCTTTCTTCCTTTCCTCCCTCCTTTCTTCTTCCCCTGCTTCCCCTCCCTTTCCTCCCTTCCTCCCTATCCTCCGTCCCTTCCTTCCTCCTTTTTCTCCCTTTCCTCCCTCCTTTCTTCCTCCCCTGCTTCCCCTCCCTTATCTCCCTTTCTTCCTTTCCTCCCTTCCTCCCTTTCCTCCCTCCTTTCTTCCTCCCCTGCTTCCCCTCCCTTTCCTCCCTTTCTCCCTTCCTCCTTTTTTCTCCCTTTCCTCCCTCCCTTCTTCCTCCCCTGCTTCCCCTCCCTTTCCTCCCTTCCTCCCTTCCCTCCCTTCCTCCCTTCCTCCCTCCCTTCTTCCTCCCCTGCTTCCCCTCATCCACCCACACAACCCCCA